GAAGGACAGGGTCTGATTGTGTTGCTTTACTCACCTGCACAAGAAGAATCATTTGAAGAATATTTACTAAGTTAGTTTTGTCCAAGTCACCTGATGGTCCTGCTCTAAGCCTCTGTACATGACATAAAACACTACATGAAACTTTCTCTTCATCTTTAACTCCCTAACTTCACCAGCCACATCCCAAAATAAATAAGGTAAGTAAGCTTAACTTTCCAGAATATTTTGAAGTCGCAGGCCTTTGCACACTGCTTAAAGGCAGCTACAAACAAGCTGTGTAACACCAAATCAGTCCCATTTTATTTCCTGGAAGGAGCTCTCAGCTTTGTGGTGCCCAGCCTGAAGCACCTCTCTGCTCCTCAATGTTACCCCAACATGATGTTCTCATAAACACAAAGGGACACTATCAATGTCACTGTGAGAATGCAGCTGCACACACCCAACTGGAAGTCTACCCTCTGCAAGTGGGGGTGCACTTAATCAAGTGCAGTTCAGGTGCAACTCTACCTGTAGTCAACGCTATTTAATATTTCCATGAGTGATTTGGACAATGTAGTAATGCAAAAAAAATTTGGCAGAAGACTTCACATAGAAAGGAGTTGCAGATAATTTGGAACAGAGTAATAAAGGGGGTGAAAAAGCTTTGAAGAATAATGAAATGTGAAAACAGAAAAGACTAAACCAAAGGCTTGACACGGATTAATTCAATAAATTCCTTTCCACATTTAGTCAGTATTTTAACACAGAAATGGAGCCTCATTTAATTTCTGGATGCAGACAATTCTGCTTGGCAAGAATTCAAAGGCTATATGTAAATTTTGCAGCTACCATCAATTGCTCTGGGAAATCGGGAAAAGGATAACTAATATAAGATTGGAATCCACATTCTGTAGCCCTCTTCTGGTTGAAATTAGTCCATGACTTAAAGAACCCAATCTTCTCCAATTAGCTTAATTTTGCAAGTATAATTGCATTTTGTTGTTGATGCTAATTATCCATTTCTCACTCCCAAGATAATTCCATTTCTTCATAAACTGCAATAGAAGGGACTACATAAAAGCAGCAGAATGTGCACTGTTTGCCCTGCCACAAAAGCCATAAACAACACACTACTCACTGCAACATTGCTACTGTGCTGCTGTGATCAGAGAGTGAGAGAGAGGCTTCTTTGCTTTTTTAAGAAAAGGTAAAGAAATCCACATGAAACTATAGATAAAGAAATCCACATGAAACTATAGATAAAGAAATCCACATGAAACTATAGATAAAGAAATCCACATGAAACTATCTTCTTCCATTTCACCCAATTTCAGGATAGTTAGGTATTTTTCACACCTTACTTTACCTTTTTTTTTCTCCTATAGAATATTTCGTCTTTCATCAGCTCAGGCTGGATTTTTGGACTCCATTTCTTTGAGGAAAGTCAACAACCTGACACAAGACTCACCTTTTCTCTCATTATATAACAAAAAGACATTATGAGTCCTCTCTCTTTCAGCTGTAAGTAGCTGCAGGTAATAAGTGAGTCATCAGTGCAATACCATTATGTCAAACAAATGACATCTGGCCACACTGCACTGTAACTGTTGACATTTCTTTACAGTATTAAATCTAGAAGCTTCACTGAAGCTACTCTTCACTTACTTGAAGCAGCTAAAGGTATTGCACAGTATGATGCAGTAATGCTAAATCATTCCAGAAACCAAAGTTTGCCCACTCATGCTCACTACTGTCAATATTCCTCCTAAGGTGATCAGGTGATAACAGGGAACTGGCAAAGCAACACAGCCAGGTCCTAATAGTGGTTTCCACACCAGCTACTATGATTAAAAAACCACTTAGTAAGACAACATTTGAATACTTGCTTAGACACAGAAAATACAGAGCCTTGTAAAGCACTGGGTGACATGATCAGCACCCAGTTCCCACCCAGAGGGCTTTTACTGGAAGTGCTACACTGGACAAGGAAACCCAATTGCTTAGGATATATGGGTGCCATGGCTCACTTGCCAGCATGCAAGCTGGACTGGAAGAACTACAGGAATATAAGAAGTCACTTTTCTTGCTATAAATTAAGGTTAAAAGTTTAGGACAAAAGTACATCAATAGGAGGAAAAACAAATCACTTCTAAGTAGAAACTTTGCACTTTCCTATTCAGGCCAAATCACTTTTACAGAACACACTTCCCTTTAATCCATGAAAATAAACACTCCCTCTCCCCCAGCACCACTCAGGCTTTACATCCTGTGACTGATTTCAGGGCCACTGAAAAGAACCACAGAAATATGTCACGAAGGTTTGTGGGGGTTGTAGAGCCAAGGGATCGATGCAGGTGCTGGCAGGTGAGGGGGGTGAGTGTCCCCCCAGATCCCAGCCTCAGGAAGGGAGGATCAGGGATCTGACAGGGGAGCACAGGTTTGCTTCAAATTCAATTTGCCCATTTTCACCATCTGTATCAGCAAATGTAAAAGGTTAATCATGCTACTATATTTACTCCAAAATCTTTCTTTGCCATTTATTTACCGCCTGCATTATTTATAGTGGTTTAGCAGTTGCAGAACATTTCCACTGCCTAAGAGGCATAAAGAGCAGGACAACTATGTTCATTAACTCTGTCAAAAATCCTACCCAAACCATGCTTGGTGTCCCTGTGCAAAGCATATAAATGAGGTTCGGAGACTAGAAAAAGCAACTTAAAAAGTCCAGTGGGGAGCCAAAAATCATCCTCTACAACCCAAACTCTTGTGAGTTTGATACGAGTAAACCAGGTGCAACCCAGAGTCCATTTTGTAGAGAGAAGAGGGGGAAAAAAAAATTCAAGAATTTTGAGCTCAGATGTATAAAATAATAAGATTTTTGTCATGCACTTATCTCTATATTTTCCCCTAAATTCTACAGACTGGTAGTTATTTTGATGTAGGTAGGTTGACTTCAAAACTTTTCTCACAAAAACGATTATATACTGCTACTTTACTGTATTTAAATCCCTATGAATTGAGTTAGGAACATCTCCATAAAATTACAGCATTAAATTTTTATATTTCGTATTTTAAAAAAATAAAGACAGCAGGTCCTAAGATCACTTGACTGTGACAAATTGTCTCTTTCTGCTCACTTGAAATTGGCCTGTGAGACTTATCAAATCCCCAGCTTTGTTACTGCTAGAAGAATTTATTTAAAAGTGCACACTGTCATTATATACTTACAGAGAGGAATATTTTAGGATTATGCAAGTGCTTGATAGATAATTGGTTCTGTCTTTTTGCTGCATCTTAAGTTTTCTGAGAAAACAGAAATATTTAAACTGCACAAAAATGTGAGTAATCTTTATAAAACAACAGTAGAAGGCCTGAACACAACTCCTAATTAAGTGAATGTGACCTTCTTAAAGCTGTCAATCAAAATTAATTTCCTACAAAACATAACAGGATATTTTTAGAAATATCACCAGTGCCTGTGTCTTTGTAGGGATCACAGCACAGCACTGTGGACCTCTGTTAGTAAATGAATGAATCCCAAGTTTGGGATGTCACAACAACAGTTGTCTTAGAAAACAACTATGAAACCCCAGAAGGACTGGCATGGGGCTTCCACAAGGTATTATGTGCCCAAACTCTGCCCAAATATACATCTATTTATAGCTCTGATGGGTCTTAAAAATATCGACTGGGCGAGATACTGACACCATTTAAAGAAAAAAGTTTAAAATCTTGGGAAACAAGGTAAGATTTGGAGGACTTCTAGAGCATGTAAAGCTTGTCTGTCTGAAAACAATTTTTGTCCAGAAAAGATTCTTCATCAAAAAAAATTCTATCTCAAAAACTATAGTGATTGGATGAAGTAAAAGTAGACTGTCAAAGTATCTCCATCTTTTTCTTAGGAGTACAAATGATTTTAAAAAGGTAGGTTTGAAAACAAGATCTTGAAAACTTTCTCATTTTAAGAAATGGGACCAGGGTTAAGCTCAAGTTTTAAAGAGCTGATTTTACTCCACAGAAACAACTACTTGATAGTAAGCTAACAAAAACTTTCATATATCTAGCAGGATGTAGAATATCCTTCCAACATATACACAGAGTCTGTTAAGATTTATCAAGGATGTAACAGATCTAGATTGGGAAATATAGCAATCAAAGTAGATTAAAAAAGGAATTCTGGCATATTTAATACTCTTTAAGTTACAGGTTACAGTTTCATTACAACTGGGCTCCAAAGGGAATATCAGAACTATTGTGCACTGAAAAAATGAATTGAAAAAACCAGTTTGTTTGGTGGTCTTAGTACTTTTCATTGAAGCTTCCCAAGAGCTTCCATGTGCTGGAACACATTTGGCAGAAGTGCATTCCTTCTGCCTTGCCCTGGGCATTCAGCTCGCCTTGGAGGGCAAACAAGCCCTTTTGCCTCCTGCCCCACTCCCTCTCCTTTCCCCACAGGCTGCACACACCACCCCGGGAACAGGAAGATGTGACAGCACGAAATCACAAAGGGCAGTAGGGAGTGCTTGTCCCAGGAGGGTCCATCATCCCTAAAACCCCAGAACTCACAGGCTGATGGAGAAGGCCTGGAGACCTTAGCAGCACACAGCTTTCCAAGCCAAGCACCGAGCCCTGTAATTAATAACTGTAATTAATTATAATAATGCGTCCCAGAAATGTTTAAATAACTAACTGCTGTAATTAAATCCTTATTAAGTATTTGGTTCTTGACTTTAACCATCATCAACACACAGTAAAACAACATCCCTAAGCAGTACTACAGAGGAATACTGAGTAGTGTAGGAACACTGATCTGTAGTTTCTTTTTCCTACCTATCAGTTGATAGACAATGGGGTAAATAGTCATTTTCCATGGCACTTTGGCTACAAGAACAATCTATGCTAAAAAACAGTGTAATGGAGTCCTCTTTATTCCAAAACAGTGTGCAAAGCCAAGATAATCATTTCGTGGAGATTTGACAGAACGTGGCATGTTTGCTCAGTGTTGTAAGGAAACTACTTACTGACCCAGGATGTGCTGCTCCACGGACACTTTCCTGCATGGAGAAGCATGAGGAAAACCCAGTGCAAAGGAGCTTTTGTGAGAACAATGCCCGGAACAAAGAGCAGGTGATCCCCGCTGGGGCCGAGATGCTCCTGTGTTCTTTCCCACTCCTCCCCGAGAAACACTGAGCTTTTCTGCTGAGTTTCCAAGATGATCCCGATGAGAAGTAGACAGTAAGGTACCACATGCTTAAAACAATACCTGTCAAGGATAAATGTAATGCAGACATATTGAATTTTGTAAATAAACACCCCAACAGATTCTCAGAGCTGTTTGTGTTCAGCAAGGCACTGGTTCACACGAATGTGCTTTTTCTGGATGCTGTTGAACTGCCAGTCCCCTGTATTGATTTTATTCACTTTTACTCTTCTGTATCAGCATCACTACCTCCCTTTTCCACGTCTTGAACATACTTTAAGATGCCACTGAGTTTCATTATCTCTTTGAGGGGTCTAAACACCATTTGTGAGCAATGAATGTTGAATGATTGATTCCCCCTGGCTACAGCAATTGGCAGTGGTTGAAGTCAGACCAGAAGTTCAGAATTACCTGTTGATAGCTAGGATTTTTTGGTTAGTTTACATACACATATTTTCCCAATAGGAACAGCTGGAATCTCACCATTTACCAAGTAATGTTGCTCAGTTCCCACTGCGAAGGCAAAACTGCATTTACAGGTGTTTGTTAACCTTTTTAGCACTCCTTCCTCAAACACAGAGCTTGGCTAGTTACTTGTGATAACTTTGGTTTTGCTGTTATTCTTGCTTGATATTTAGAACACGTATTTCACATGTTACACATCAATTACAGTTTATTAGGAGTAAATGTGAATTATCCATTTAATTAATTATTTACATAATACTCCCAGTGTAAAAGACCACTTAAAAAGTCTCAGTTTTTGAAGGATGTCAATCACCCACAACATGGCAACATTTTCAACAATCCCCTCACTCATCACCTAAGATTTTTTCCACAATCAGTACATTTCCTAGCAAGTAATGAGTAACGAGTCATAAGCAATTTATTTACCTTCACTGTCAAAGTAACAATTAAAAGTGTAATATTGCATTTGATTTGACAAAAATATTCTACATTTCTGACCCACACAATAAAAGGGATCATAGTATCTGATGTTTCTCAGTTTCCCTAGTTAGCACAACTATTTATGTCAGACTATTTTCTTTTAGTTTATGTCCTGTTTTTAAAGACTTTTAATTCCTTTCTCATTTCTATTGCCTCCCCAACTCACACAAAAAGCAGACCTGATATCTTCCTCCAGGATTAACCTCTGTCAAGCAGTCCTAAACACAACACACTTCTGCAAAAAACACTAAGCCATTCAAAGACAAAATACTATAAAACAAACAAAAAGGCATTCACTGAAGAGATTGTATTAAGAAAATTCTCATGGAGGCAGTTTGTGTCAAATAAATAGATTTGTCTCGGAGTTACTGTTTCTTTTACTCTGCAGCAAGATTTCCAAGAGCTAGTGCTTGCCAAGTGCATGTATTCCCTTTTCAAATCCTGTGCCAAGTGCCTTAAATTAACATCACTTATAATCACTTTGCCACAAACAGTGAGTGGGACAAGAGCAGAAGAGCTCCCACACAGTGTCCCCCCTCAAATTCCTATTTCCTGTCATCATCTGTGGACCCAAACACCCTCCCAAAGCCATTAATTAAATGGATACATCAATCTGGAGACAAGAATAGAGCCTGCAGTGACAAAGGAGGAGCGGGGCTGTCACGGCCTGTGGTGTGAAGTGGGAGCAGGTTGAAATCACTGCCTGCCTCGTGAAACACCTGCTGCACCACGAGGCAAGGTGTTGGCACCACAGCAACTGGACAGATTGGGTGAGAATACAGCTGTAAAATGTTTGCAGAAAATTAGAAGTCACTTGATAGAGACGTAACAGAGTCTCATCCGCATACCTTCAGAACTACTGAATTAAACTTCATTTCAGGAAAAATAATACTGAAAATTAGCACCACTGGTAGTAAATGCTTTTGCCAGCAAAACCAAAAAAGCAGAACTGTTGCATCCTTTAAATGAGAAAACAGACTTTTCAAAATCTTTAAATCAGAAATCACTCAGCTCACCCAAAGTACCCATGCTCCCTCCCAAAATCAACTCCTCACACAGTTCTGCCCCTGCCTGCAGCCAGCCCTCGAACCCCAAACAAACTGTTCCCCCCCTTGTGTTAGCTGTACCCTGAGCTCAGACACCAGACTGGACACACTGGCTTTAATGCAGCAGATAAACCCTGGGATAGGTCTCCTATCACACTAAAACAAGTGTTCCATTTCATGCATGTGGTGTTGCCAAGCTGGAGCAGGAGAAGGGAACAGCAATAACCAGAAAAACCCTTGGAATATCTCTGTACTGACTATTGTCACATCACCTGTAACTCCTCAGTTACTGTGTGATTAGATAGGTACACAGAGAATTCTGGATGGTAATTCTTCCACCTCCGTGGAAAGAAAACATAGGAAAAACACTTTTCCCACCAAGTTCAGGCTGTGCAGACGTGGCTTAGGCTGTACCTTTGGCCCCATGGAGTCACCCATGAAGAGAAATATCCTGTCAGATTGATGGGACATCTAAACCTACACAGGGAACATGATTTTTAAGTTAAGGAATTTGATACTTTCAACTGGGTGAACAATTTCAGAAGTGATAATAAAAGTGGAGTGAGGAAACAGTGTCTATTCCTTTCATGGATCTGGTACCATGAAAGAAGTCTAAATACATTAAAAAGATATTAGTTACTGAGAGAAAGATAATGAGCTGATCAACAGCATAAAAATAAGATATTGCAGCAGAAATGTTCTCTGTGCAGGAGGAAGAAAAAAAGGGGGAAAGCCTCACCATAGTCTAATGAATATATCAATCAACAAAATAAGAGATTAGCAGTGAGATGGGAAAAAAGAGGAAATTAGGGACTCCAGCAGAAATAAAATTGTCCAAAGTGATAAATACTTTGGATACTTACTGTCGCTATTATTCCCATATTTCTGTGTTTGGCAGAATGCCATGCAAGAAAAGTATAATTCAGCACCAGGATCTACATAAAAGGAGAGGATTACAAAAAACAAAACAAAGCAGGAAGACACAGTCAAGATGCCATGAGAAACTAGAGCACTGTTGGTGGGAAGAAATCATGAAAAGCTGCCTTTGAGAAAAACAAAAATAACCCCTCCCCCAAAACCCAAACCATGCTGTTTCTGCTGAAAATGCAACAGCAACATCTCAATTATTCACAGAGGGAACCAGACAACCAGGATAAGGCTGAACTGCAGTCAGAATTAGAAATTTGACAATATTCTCATGGGATGAGACTAAAGTGATGTTATCACACATTATATCGTCATTTTTCATTTAAAAAAATACTTAGGAATGCTACCAGAAGCAAGCACTGATCATTAAGTGAATCTATTTGGAAATTCCAGCCAAAATTCTCAGTGCACCAGCTGGAAACTTATGAACTGCTTTAAATACATAGCAGGGTGTTGTCTCCATGAGCTCCCTGTAACCTAGTTTCTGTGATGGGCAATTTTGTGGCACTCAAGAGTTTTCTGAGGGTATCCACTGCAGGAACAAAAAACCAATTCTTAAGAAGATTTACTCATTCGACCTTGCAGTTGTGTTTTGCCTTAGCCACTCAAAAGTATCAAACCCAGCCATTTAAAGTATCAAAGAAACAGCTGCAGAATTAAAATTTCTCAGTCGATCACCACTCACAAACAGTTCTTACAATATAAGGCTCTTCTTCAATATAAGGCTCTTCTTCAAACTGTACTGAAACTTAAAAATGGACATGAATCTAGATTAAAAAAAAAGAACAGCAAACATGACCACGGTCAGATTAAATTTTTTTTCAACATCTTATGAATGCCCTTAGGCATGATTTACCCATCTATTTCTTAACAAGGTGAAAGGATGGCTTGGAAATTCCTCAGACTGGATACAGACATCAGGACATCAGCACTGCTCAGGTGATGTTCAGATATTACTTTAAATCTTGCTGCATCTCATGAGGGAAATGAGTAATTTTTAGGGTCACTGTATAAATAAATTAGACTTGACAAATTCTTCCCTCATACTCCTATTTCCTACAACTAATGACAATTCTGATAAAAAGTGTCGTGGCTTTATTGAAAAAATAATTTTAATTTCGGTCCAAGCAAGGTGCATTACTAACCTAGCAAAACTAATTAATTTTGCTCCAAGCATTCTTTACAGAGATGCCTGTTTTGAGCAATTTTCAGTTTAATGAACCAGCTCCAAGCAGGGGAAATGCAGCATTAATGAAAGGAAAAGTACTTGCTTTTTTGGTTTGTTTTGACAAGTTTTTGTTTTGGCCTTAAGATGGGTTATCTGGAATTAATTCAATTCTGGTGCTTGCATGCCTCTTGAGCCATGAAAGGTGCTGCTGGGACGGCCTGCTTGGTTGCACTCCTTCCCCCTAAAGGAAAGGGAGTCCAACCAATCCAGTTACCTTACAGGCCATCTAATAAGTAATTGTGTATCAGCCCTACAGAATAAGAGAAGGAGGGAAGACAAAAAGAGCATCTGGGAAAAGATGCAATCAGAAAGGGTAGCAGCCACTCCTTTTCAAATTTACCTACATCAGTCAAACAGCAGCTTCTCTCCCACAGCCTCCTCCGCTGAGGGAAATGGGACAGAAATTCTGCTCGAGATCTACCTTTGCACTGACATCTCACAGCTGGTTTAACCCTTGTCCTCTTGCAGGGACAAGCTTTGGACAAAGTCAGACCAGCTGAACTCCTACCAGAACAGATGGAGTCTTCCCTGAGTCCTATAGAAATACTGGAAAGTTTATTAGACCCAGATCAAAGATCAAAGTACTGTGGTCTTCCATTTGAGTGTGAGGTTACTGATGCACTCAAATACCTCCACACAGGCATTGCTGGGGACTGAATGACATCTCACACTACTCCTCATAATCAAAGTCTGAAAAATAAAGGAATGGAGACATACCAAAAAGATTGTCTCAGTGGTACCATGAGAGTTCACAGGACTGGTGCCATACAGGTTCTACCTTTTGTGTAGAAATCCTGAGGATTCTACCCAGGAATGCAGGGGACATAACTTTTACTGCAAATGCCTCAGACATCAGGTGACCTGCAGGATCAAAGCTTTAATATTAATCTCTGTGCTCAAGAATGATCTTCATCTCA